TATTTTGAAGCTCTTTCATTAGCATAAATATTTATTATAGTTATGTCACCTTGTTCAGTTGTTCCTTTAATCCTGAGATAATGTCCATCTTTATCTATAATGCTGCTTTTTGCCTTAAAGTTTATTTTATCAGAGATTAGTACTGCCACTCCTGTTTGTTTTTTATTGCCATTAGCTTGGTATATTTTTTCTGTCCTTTGACTTTTCATCTGTTTTTTCTCTGTTTATGAGATGTGTCTCTTGCAGACAGCATATTGAAGGGTCTTGTTTTCTTACCCGTTCTTCCACCCTCCGTCTCTTAACTGATGTATTTAACCTGTTTACATTCAGTGTAATTATCAATAGGTATGAATTAATTGCTGCCATTATGTTTGTTTTTTGGGGTGTTGCTGCTTTCTTTGTTCTGTGTGTCTTCCTTTGTTGAGTTCATGCTTTTTATGTTCTTTCTTGTGAGTTTCCTCATAGTTTTAATGTTTCCATGTTTTTCTTGGATTTTAATTTTCTTGGTATGTTGTGAAGTGTTAATTTTCTTTGAGGTTGCCTTATAGTCCATTAACTTTTCTCTCCATTTAGTGCAGTCTATTTTATCCTGTAATCTACCTGACCTTCTCACCATCTGGGTCTCTGTGCATACGTGTTTACCTTCTTTTACATTGTAATTGTTTTGATCATAGAGTGACCTCCCAGATTTTCTGAGTTTGTTCTTATAGTTTTTGTTCTTTTCTCGACTCTTCTTTCTGTCAATTTAGTTCTGGGAGGTACTGCCACATAGTTCAATCTCTGGTTGTTATCTGTTCTAGTTGGTTCTCATTCCACAGAACTCCCTTTAGGATGTTTTGTAGTGCAGGGTAGGCTTTGGCAAAATCCCTTAGCTTCTGTTTATCATGGAATATTTTAATTACACCGTCGTATTTGATTGATAACTTTGCTGGATAAAGGGATCTTGGTTGGCAGTTTTTTTCTTTCAGGGATTTATATATGTCTCCCCATTGCCTTCTTGCTTGCATGGTTTCTGCTGAGAGATCCGAACTTAATCTGACTTGCTTGCCTTTGTATGTAACACTTCTGTTTTCCCTAGCTGCTTTCAGAAATGCCTCTTTTGATTTTGGAGAGCTTGATGATGATATGTCTCGGTGATTTTCTTTTGGGGTCTATCCTTCCTGGGGTTTGTTGAGCTTCTTGAATGTTTATCTTTTCACTTTTTAGGATCTTAGAGAAATTTTCAACCAGCAGTTTTTCAACTGTTTCCTCTGTGGACTTGTGTGATTCTTCTTGTTCTGGAATGTTGATAATTCTTAAGTTATTCCTCTTCATGTTGTCCAGCATGAATCTTAGACCTTCTTCAGATTTCTGTATCCTTTTTTTTGTTTGTTCTTCTATCTTAGTGGTATTGAAATAATGAGTACTCACTTCCCCTCCCCCTCCTGCCACTGGTCACCACTATTATACTCTATTTCTCTATATTTTCCAATTCATAGTATTTCATATTACTAAAATCAGATAATGTTTGTCTTTTTGTGATTGACTCAATGGCATTTAACAACAATAACAACATTATTTGCAAAGTCCATCCATATTGTAGCATGTATTTATTCCTTTAAGTCTCAACTTTGTTGTTGTTATTGCTGTTACATGCTGTTGAGTCAGTTCAGACTCATAATGACCCTGTATAGGGTTTCTAAGGAGCAGCTTTTAATTTGAACTGCTGACTTTGTGGTTAGTATTCTAGTGCTTATCCTACAGCACTACTAGACTCAACTTTGTTGTTGTTATTGTTAAGTGTCATCTAGTCAGTTATGAGTCATAGTGACCCTGTATAAGGATTCCAAGGAGCAGCAATGGATTTGAACTGTGGACCTTGTGTTGCTCCTACAGTGCTGTACTAGGAGCCTTCTTTAGTAGAGAAGAAATAAACTGGAAAGGTCTTTAAAATACAAATGACTGAATATGCCTCCCCAGCATTCTAATTCAGTAATCTGGAGTAGTCTGTTTATCTTTGCTTATAAAACACTTCTCAGAGGACTTTGATGTTCAGCCACAGTTGGGAGATATTTTATGTTGATAATGTGCAGATTAAGTTTATACTAAGAAGAAACAGATTCATAAATGTTTAATTAGCACCTCCCTGTAACCCCAGAAAACTTAAAATACTCATTTCAAGCCACACAGCTAGATGACTCGGGAAGGACTACTTCCTGCCACAAGAGAGAGCTGAGATTCTCAGTGACATAGGTCACTTGGATAATTTCTCTTACTTTGCTCCCTAACTTTGAATCTTCACTGATGTAGACATTTGTGTCCTCTTCTAGCAGAAAGAAATCTAATCTCATAGACGACACTGGGAATCCTATTCTTAGCACCCTGCTCCACTCACAGTACACTCTTCCTCACTATTAACATAGGTGTCTGTTATATTCTCACCAGAAGAGAAGCCTTAGTATTACTGTAAGAACAGTGATTAATGAAAATAAATATTTTATTCATCATGCTTAACAATTCAATTTTATATGTACTCGAATTTGAAATATAATCATTTAATCTTACTTAAAATTATTATGTAATACTTTAGAAAAATACTGCATTCTTTTCATTAAATTGCTTTATAATCATTGGTGATTCAATGTCATTGAGTTCACCTAAACTACTATAGTAGTCAACAGGAGGCTGTCCACTCCATGAATATAGGAATATACAGAGTGTGCTTTTAATGATAATTTTCACGAGGTTATGTAAAATTTGTAAAATCATCCAACAACATGAGCATCACGGCATTAGGTATTTTAGAACTTGGAAATCTAAGATATTATCAATCTAAGAACCTATCAATCCTTAGCAATCTGTCTCCTTTCTCTGTCTCTCTGTATACTGAATTTGTTCCTTTATACTTGCACTTCATAGTTTTTGGTTAACGGGCAAGAGGGGATAGAGGGTGTAGGATTCCATCTTCACTTCAGCTTGAAAAATCTCTGTAGAAGACATGGAATTGTACCCTTGCTTAATCTGTTGCTAAAGTCTCTGACTAGAAGTGCAGAAATGATGTCCTTCTCCCTTTATAAAGCACAGTAAGCATTCTAAATAGCAAGTATGTGTACACTATATAAACTGTAGCTTAGCTGCTACCACTGTAACCAAATCATAGCAAGTCTGTGTAAGTAAAATTCAAATGTAATATATCAAGAAGTCAGCATCACATACGTTTTTGTTTATTTTTTGGTAAGAAAATGACATTTCTAAATAGAAAATGATCAACTGTCACAGTTTGTCTGGACTGTGAGGGCTGCCTGGGACATGGACTTCAGTTGCTAATCCCAGTAAATTCTCAGGCAAACCAAGACAAGTTAGTTACCTTAACTCTTGTTAAATGCAATGGAATCCATTTTGACTCATAGCGACCCTGTATAGGGTTTCCTAGAGGTGGAGGGTAGATCTGAACCACCAACCTTGCAGTTATCAGTACAGTGCCTATCCTACAGCCCCACACAGGCTCTACTTCAACTCTAGGCATGCAAAAATATTATTTTTGGTTAGAGGAATAGATGTTGATAACAGTGACATTTAATTTGTTCTCCCTAATGTCTGCAGATGCAAAATCTACTGGTATCTTAAGGCTCAGTTTAAATGTCACTTCTTCGAAACCATAATCTCTCCCACTTCCAAATTCACATAACACTTTATCCACACCACTCTTATCTCACTTAGGACTTTAACACACCTTTATCAGTTATCTACAAACACATTTCATCTCTGACACTACATGATAAGTTCCTTTAGGACATGATGTATGATTCATCTTTTATCCCTCATAGCTTCTAGCACAGTGCTCCACACTGACTATACCAGAAAGGATTTATTAAATGGAATGAATGAGTCCACCAGTGACCAAATTATATTGCTACAATAAGATGGCACTATGATGGGATCGGTGGGGAGGTGTTGATATGGAATACAGAAAACCTGTCCTTTTATTTGTTTTTCCCCTCTACTAAATAGTTAATGTGATTTTAAACATTGTTCTTAGTTTTATATATGAATGTTTATATGTGTGTGTTTGTATTTCTCCAGCCAAAAAGTGAGTTTCAACTAAACTCTCAGTAATCACTGTTAGCTTGGTTATCCAATTTTCTCAAGAACTTGATGCAAACTCTCAGACTTTCGTATAACTCTCAGTACTTTACAAGTCCCACTTCACAAGAAAATCTGATTTACAGGAAGAAAATGCTTTACTCAACCCTCACAACTTATTATACATTATTTAAGTAGAGTGTTGATTTCTTGAAGATTTAGTCAGGTATGTCAGGAAGAAATAGGCAGTCATATCTGTGCATATTTGAAATAAAAAATCGTATGGGTATGTATTGCTTAATGGAAATACAGTATTTCTGGACCACTGTTTGTTTGTACAAGGTCAGCAGTTCAAGCTCACCAGCTGCTCCTTGGAAACCCTATACAGGATCTCTATGGGTCAGAACAGACTCGACAGCACTTAACAACAACAACATTTATATTATATGGAGCTCTAATGACATAACAATACATGTTCATTTGTTAACCAAAAGTTTGACCCACCAGCTCCAGAGAAGAAAGGCCTGTTAGTCTGAGCCTGTAAAGACTACAGCCTAAAAACTATGGGGCAGTTCTACCCTGTTATTTGGGGTCACCAAGAGTAAAATTTGGCTTGAGGGCATCTAACAACACAACTTCATTTGGGTTAACATCCTTGTGTTGTAAGAGGTGAATAAAATAGATTTTCTTAAAAACTGATCATTTGTTTTGTGTATATGTTTTTTAATTTTTTTTTGTAGGAGAAAAGTTATTTGTTAAAAGTTTCCTGTTAATTCTCTGAAAACATAAATAGCAGCCCTTAAAAGAACAAATTCACCAGTGTTTCTAGAATTCACACTAAAATATGTAAAAATATTGCTTTCATCAATTTTCAATTAAAATGTGATGTTATGCAGACTTTTATAAATTTTTATAACCCAGTTTTCTATTGTCTTTAGCTACTGATGCAAATGTGAAGAGTGAAAATCTTTCATCTGTGCAGCAGCTTGGCATTAAAATGACTATCAGGTATATTATAGGGAAATATCTCTCTGGTACATGTCTAAAATTGGTTTTATCTGCATGATACGTGCTCAATAGTATTTAATTTAACATTCAACTATTCCGTATGCTTTACATGCTAGGTTTATCTTTCAAAAAATAATAAGTTGGTTTTTGAAGATATTGACGCGTGATTAAATTACCTCTGCAGGTAAATCAGCTACAGTTCATTATTATTCCAGAGGCTAATTATGGTATATTTAAGCCTCTTTGACTATCAGGTTTTTTCCAAAAATAGCATTGTAAAAATCAGCATATTTGTAGCACAATCATACCATTTTCTAAAATATGATTAGTCCTAATTGTCACGCTATCATGATGAGCACAGAAATGCCGTAAGGATAGATGCAGAAATAAAATGAATGAACTAGAATTATCATAGTTTGAACTTTTTATATTCAAATTATAATTTTGAAAAGGCAGTTGGCAAGCTAGAAACCAGCTGACTGGGAGTTCGTGAAGCTTTCTTCTTTTGCTTATTAAATTGGGATCATTACTGTTGCATTCTATTTATAGGGTCATCTTCAGAGTCAAGTATAAAAAACATGCATGTGGATTCTGTTAAAAAGGATGACTTTTTAAAATAAAATAAATTCATAGCAACATGATGAAAATGGTGATATTGATTTTTGGTCTCCCACTTGTAGAATGTAGGGCCTGTTTTTGATATGAAGTTGAAATTGGTTTATGTAGATACTATAAGCAGATAAGTCACAAATTTTTTAAATTCTTTTTGATGTCTTATTCATCAGACATTAAAAGGAAGTTTCAAAAAGTTCATGGAAAAATGGAATGATATGATAATTAAATTTTTCTATAAACTTTTTGAAGCCCCTCATATATTGAAAGCGATTTATAATGAAATGTTTAGATATAGCAGCAGTGTAAGAAATAGCTAACAGCTACATTTGCAGACTGATAAGAGTTTTTATGCTAGTACCTCTAATACCAAATCAGTTATCTTTCCCAATGTCACTATCTAAAATGGTAAAAAAAAAAAAAAAACCCTATTAAGGTTTCAAACAAAATGAATAGCTATCTTTTTAAAAATTTAGATGTGGTGGTGGTGGTGGTGGTGGTATGCCACTGACTTAGTCCCTACTCACAGCGACCCTTTACAGGGTTTTCAAGGCTGTAAATATTTGTTGTCGTTGTAAGGTGCCATCTAGTCAGTACCGACTCATAGTGACCCTATGTACAACAGAATGAAACCCTGCCCAGTCCTGGGCCAACCTCACAATATTTACTATGCCTGAGCCCATCGCTGCCAACAGTATGCTAGTCCATCTCATTGGGGCTCATCCTCTTTTTCTCCAGTCCTCCATTTTACCAAACATGATATCCTTCTCCAGTGACTGGTCCTTCCTGATTATATGTCCAAAGCATGAGAGATGAAGTTTGGCCATCCTGGCTTCCAAAGAGCTCTCTGGCTGCATTTCTTCCAACACAGATTTATTTGTTCTTATGGAAGTTGATGGTACATTTCATATTCTCTTCCAACATCATAACTCAAATGCATCAATTCTTCTACAGTCTTCTTTATTCACTGCCCATCTTTCACATGTATATTGTTGTTGTTGTTGTTAAGTGCCATCAAGTCGGTTCCAACCCATAGCGACCCTATATAGGGTTTCCGAGGAGTAGCTGGTGAGCTTGAACCACCAACCTTGCAGTTCAATCGGCTTTGCAGCCTGCCGCATTAACCCACAGCGCCACAACAGGACTCCACATGTATTTTAGGTTATTGAAAATACCATGGCTTGGGTCAGGTACACCTTAGTCCTCAAACTGACATCTTTGCTCTTCAACACTTTAGAAAGGTCTTGTGCAGCAGATTTGCCTAGTGCAATACATCGTTTGATTTCTTGACTTCTGCTTCTATGAATGTTGATGGTTGATCCAAACAAAATGAAGTCTTTGACAACTTCAGTCTTTTCTCAATTCACATGGATGTTGTTTATTGGTCCTGTGGTGAGGATTTTTGTTTTCTTTATGGGAGCAGAAAGCCTCATCTTTCTCCCTGAAAGTGACTGGTAGATTTGAACTACTGACCTTGCGGTTTTCAGCCCAGCTTGTAATACACTAAGCTACCAGGGCTCCATTGACTTAGCTATCATTTCACTTGATTTATAGAAAAATATTTTATGTAAAATTGAATTGTTTTTGTAATAACAACAATTATGAGTCAGAACCCTTGAGTCAGTGCTGACTCATAATGCCCTATACAGGGTTTCCGAAGAGTCACTGGTGGGTTTGAACCACTGACCTTTTGGTTAGCAGTCCAGTGCTTGTTCTATAGTACCACATTACTGTTGTTGATAAGTGCCATTGAGTCTGTTCTGACCCATACCAACCCTGTACAAGGTTTTCAAGGAGCGGCTGGTGAGCTTGAACTGACAACTTTGTGGTTCAAATGACTTTGCAGTCGAGCGCATTAATCCACAGCACTACACCAGGACTCTCATAGAACCACATAGGACTTTAAAAATGAAATTGGAATCAGATAATTATAAATCAGTCTTTTGTTCATCCAAATAATATTGCAGTTGTTATCCAAGACAGGTCCCATGTCAAACCTCCCGTCCCTCCTCGTAAGTACCAGAAGCCACCCCACTGTCACTCGGATAGTCAATATGACCCCACATACTTCCATAATGGTTCCTGGGGGAGTACCACCCATATTGAAAACCATAAGGCTAGATGAACTTAAAGCTGTTTTTAGACTTAACATTCTGTAAGCAATACATCAACATTTCATGCTTTCAAAAAGTTAAGAAAAAACTATCTTTTTGTTTAGGGCCATCAAGTTGATTCCATCTCATAGTAACCCTGTATAGAGTTTCCATGGATTTGAATCTCTATCTTTTCAATTAGCACTTATATTTTAATCTGCATGTATAGGACATCTGTTTATTCTTCCATCACTATTTCATCCTTTTTTAAAGTCATCAGAATTTACCATATCACTACTGCTAATCCAAATATATAATTATCAGAAACATGTATTGAGAGTTAAATTTTCCTAAGTGTTCTATATAACATAATTTTTCTAAAAGTGGAAATTCGAAAACTGAAAACCTTGAGGTTTCCAAAGAAATAGATTTTGATGGATTCAAAAAATTGAGTTTACAATGCAGGTTCTGATGTTTTTCATTTCATGTGTCTTGTGTGTTTTTAATTTAGGTATGGCAAGTTCCTCAACCTATTAAAAGAAGGTGCAGAAAATCATCTTTCCTTGCTTTTAAAGCATTGTGAGAGATTCCTTAGACAGCAGCAAGCTCCCATAAAATCTTCTCTTCATATCCTTTTTAAGTGAATTCATATGTGTTGAACTTTCATCATATATTTTTCCTAATTCTTTTATGGGATACCTTGGCACATTTTCATTAAAATAATCTTATAACCTGTATTAGTGATTTATCTGTTAATTATATTTCTTTATAGTGTAGTATTTTATTTTGTATTTAAATATTCATTCAATTACATGTGATCATAATTATTAGAATCAGTTTTATTCATTAAATCTTAAATGGAATAATTAAAACTATTTAGATATATTTTCAGATACACCTTAGAAAGGTTTTAAAATATGTTTAGTAAATCCGGGATAAAAATAAAGACTGCTACTTTTCTTTACTACATCCATTTTATCATTCCATTCAAAATGATTAACTTTCAGAATGGAGTTTGACTTGAAAATTATATACAAGCAATTTGCTTTACTGAATTCTAAAACTATGTTCATTTTATTATGCTAGATGATGGCTTCAACTAGAGAAAGGATGGTACTGATGTGTTAATGAGTTGAATAAATCATTTTTCACAAAGTTTGTAGTTTTCTCTAGTTGCTAGTACCATTAGCTACCAGTGGGCATGTAAGCACACTGTTGTTAAGTGTCGTTAAGTTGGTTCCAACTCACCGCAACCCTGTATAGGGTTTCTGAGGCGCAGCAGGTGAATTTGAACTTCTGACCATGTGACTTGAAGTTCAATGCTGATCATACAGCAACACACCAAAAGTCCCTTGTAAGTACATAGTACATGAAAATAGTTACCGATAAGTGATTAATTTTTTACTAATAATAGATTAATTGTACTTCTGTAGCTTAAATATTGCTGCTATTTATGTTGTTGAGTTGGTTCCAGCTCTTAGGGACCCTGCATAGGATTTCTATGGTGTGGCTGGTGAAGTACAACTGCTGACCTTGTGGATAAAATACAACAGATACCTATCTTAATAGTAAAAGAAGAGTGTGCTATGAGCAGAGCAGGGTGCTAAGAAGAAGATTCCCAGTGTCATGTATGAGATTAGGTTTCCTTCTGCTAGATGACACAAATGTGTACATCAGTGATGGTTAAGATAAAGTTAAGGCGCAAGGTGAGAGAAGTTGCCCATGGGGAGCTATGTCACTAGGATCGCAGTACTCCCCTGTGGCAGGAAGAAGTCTGTCCCGAGTGGTTAGCAGTCCAATGCTTATCCTACAGCACCATACACAGACTCCATTGGTTGAAAATAAAATGAGGACTAAATACCATTTGTGTCTCTCATATGATAGAAGTTCTATAAATGATTATTTAAGGTGTTTTTATAATTAATTTTGAAAGAAAGAATATTATTAAAGCTCCTTAACTGTTTTTTTCAGTGTGCCTGCAGGCGACTTATGTTGGCCATGACTGGTTTGTGTCTTCTCTGTTCATGATAATGTTGGGGGACAAAGAGAAAGCATTCCAGTTTCTTCAGAGGTTCTCCCGGCTTCTGACTTCTGCTTTCCTTTGGTTGCCACGATTGCATGTTTCTGTAAGACATTTAGATTGATTTTAAAGGAAGGCTTGATATTTTAAGGAATATCATATTTAAATTGTGGCACTATGATAATTTATATTCATTTTGTAACTAATGCTTTTTGGAAACACAGATTTAACATTATCTCAAATACTTCATGTTTTAGTTAATGGTAACTGATGAAAGATTAATGCTAGAAGCATTTAAAATGGGCCCTTGAATAAGTTATATTAAATTCTATATGTAAAACTATGGGATAATATTAATATTTTACTGATCCTTTGTTAGAAAGACTCCCTCGATGGTTAAAACCATGGTATGAGAAAATAAATTACTAAGTAGAAATCGTAGCTATACTCTTCTATTGTTATTACTAGTTGCCATTGAGTCAATTCCAACTCATGATGAAAACCAAACAAAAAACTCACTATGTAGATTTTGGATATCAATGCTCAGCTTGATTAACATACTGCATATTTTTAAAGTTTTTTTACTTGTCTCATGGTATTTCAGAGGTTAGTTTAGAATTAATTGTATCCATCACTTTCAAACTTGGGGAAACCACTAACTCTACAAGCTATACAAATGGTTACTGAAACTTTCTTAAACTTTTCCAGAACATGTGACAGGTTATACGGCTCCTGGATAAGCTGAAGGGTACTGCAGGGTATCTGAGTATATTTAGATGAAAACATTTTGTTTGTGTTCTTTATAGTATATAATTGTGATGTTGTTGTTGTTGTTAAGTGCCGTTGAGTCGGTTCCGACCCATAGCGACCCTGCACAGGGTTTCCGAGGGTGTAAATCTTTACGGGAGTAGAAAGCCTCATCTTTCTCCCGCGGAGCAGCTGGTAGTTTCGAACCACTGACCTTAAGGTTCGCAGCCCGATTCGTAACCACTACGCTAAGGACAATAAAAACAAAGCATCAAAGAATACATTAAATAATAAAATTTTAATATTTATGGTTGAAATAGTTTTGTAAAGTTCATGAATAAGACTTTTCAGTTATTACCTTCACTGTCATGACATTGCATCCACATGAACAGGAAAGCAAATGACAAAAGAATATTACTAGTTTTCTCCAAACAGTGGAACAATTTTCTTGTTGTTAACCAAAATTTGAATAATTCTGTCTCTTTAAATCGAATTTTAAGTGGTTGATCATTATTTTTTTTATCCTTCACATCGTTTTCTTTTCCATTTACAAATGTTATATTGAAAATTATTTTGGTGGTTTGAGTCAATCGTACATTGTAATGGCAACATTTAAAAATTATACCTACACTCCACTAGGTGCTCTGGTAGCATAGTAGTTACAAGTCGGACAGTTAACCTCGAGGTCAGCAGTTGAAACTATTAGCCGTTCCATGGGAGAAAGATGAGGCTTTCTGCTCCTGTAAAGATTTACAGCCTCAGAAACCCTATGCAGGGTCACTATGAGTCAGAACTGACTCCATGACACACCACTACCACCGCCACATTCCACTAATTTTAACAATTCTACTTTTTTTTTCAGATTATAACACAATCTAAACATTACCAATGATTTAAACTAAAATTTTAGAAAACTTCGGCTTTGAAACTATAATATATTTCACAAAATACTATTTCATTTTTTATAAGCCTTGTAGATTTAGGTTTTGCTAAATTGTTGTTGTTAAGTGCCATTGGGTTGATTCCGACTTAGATGCTTTAAAAAGTTAGCCAATAAACTATCATTCCTCAAATATGCAAGGTTTAAAAAATTTAACTCCTTGATTAAAAAGCTTTTCCAACTCCTTTAACTCATAAACTTTTGATAAAACTCTACCTTTGGAAATCCTGCATAACAGCAGAAATACTGTGTTCAGTTGCATTTTCCCATAAAACCAAGGACTTTTTAACAGCTTGTATTTCATTAAGTGTAACATTTGATAGCACTTTGTATGGAATATATAAAGAGACTTGAAAGGTCATAGAAAATGAAAATAAAATATAGCATTTTTTTTGTGAACTTTTGAAGCCTCCTAGGAGCTATGGTAGTGTAGTGGTTATGAATCAGGCTGCTAACCTCAGGGTCAGCAGTTCAAAACTACCAGCTGTTCTGCAGGAGAAAGATGAGGCTTTCTGCTCCCGTAAACATTTACAGCCTCGGAAACCCTGTACAGGGTCGCTGAGTTGGAACCGACGCCACGGCACATAACCACCAACCAACCAGTAGATGAATGAGTTTAATGGAATGGCACATGACTAGCTAGAATCTCAGAGTCTTCAGAATGAAGTTTGTATGTTGACACATTTTTGCTGGTGCAGTTGTACCATCAGTAAAGCCTGAAATGCCTTCCATAGCATCCTTTTTCCTTTCCAACTACAAGTTTTTCCTTTCCAAGTTGAATATTCCATTATCAGTAATTTATTTAACTGCTTCTTTATGCAACAAATGACATCCTGCAGACATTCCTCTTCAGGGATTCTGTGTAGAGCTGCTAATTAAGCAACTAGGTCCAGTTCCTAAGGTATGGACAGTCACTAATTACAGTATGTTGTGGATTTATTAGTCTTTTGTCACTTGGCTTGTCATCACATTCACTAATAATCTTAATATGTTTTAAAGGTGGTGCCTTTTCTATTTTATTTGTTCTATTGCTCATAAACAAAGCTGGCAGGTCAGTAAGATAAGTAAATATGCACTTGTGGTGAGACACTTAGACTTTCATTATTAATAATACAAACTTGTCTACCTTTTTTAGTTCATTCTTTGTTGTTCTTAGGTGCAGTCAAGCCATTGTTCACTCCTAACAACCCCATGTGATAAAGCAAAAGTGCCCTTGGTGTTTTCTTGGCTATAATCTTTATGAATGCTTATCGCTAGTTTTCTCTTGTGGAGTCCTTGGGTGGTTTGGAGCCTCCAGTATTTAGGTTTGCATTTGAGCACTTGACCTTTTTGTACTACTGAGACTCAATCTAACACTATTGTAATCAACCTCAAAAAACCCTAAAAACCCTCAAAAAAAGTTCCACTTGTCCCTCTAGTTGCATATTCTCCATCCTCCTTACAGTGTTTATTTTATTCTTTTTTTTTAAATCCCATAGCCAACAAATTCCTAAAATGCTGCTTAATTTATGTATTTATTTGTTCATTATTTAAGCATGTAAATATAGGCTCTCTGAAGGTAGAGTTTTCTATTCTGTTCCCTAATGTGTCCCAAACTACGACTCATAGTAACCACTCATGAATATGGATTGGATGTGTGAATTCATATTTAAACAGAACTATGTAAGACAATAGTAGGTTTTATTATTTTAGAAAATGTAATGAAAGAATATTTGTTCCTCTTAATTGTTAAGAATATTTTAAACAAATTACATCAAGAAGTTAAAAAAAAAAAAAAAAACCTAAGATAAGCAATACAAGAAATAATGAGACATTGATTTTGAAGTTCTCAAAATGTTATAAACTATGATTGTACTATACATCAGAGATAAATAAAATCTGAGAAATTAAAATTTGAAGTCATTTATAAGAGAAGTGCCCTTTAATAAAATGATTCAGTCGAACCCCTATAATGGAAAAATAAAAAAATAAAAGACAACTTATCACGCTTCATTTTAAAATAAGTATCTTGCATTTTTAATCAGTAAAGTAAAATATTCTATACAGTTATTAAGTTCTTTTGTGTTATGTTGTTTTCTAATATATCTCTCTAGTCAAAAGTTGTCACTGAGTATTTTTCACAATTATATGTTCATTTATAAGTTACTTAGATGTTACAGTGTTGTTGTTGTTAAGTGCTATTAAGTAGGTTCCAACTCTTTAGACCCTAGATAGGGTTTCCAAAGAGTGGCTGGTGAGCTTGAACTGCCAACCTTGTGATTCAAACTGACCTTGCATTCCAACACATTAACCCGCAGTACCACACCAGGACTAGATGCTGTTATCCTGTATGTGTTCTGCTCAGGCCTACATTGTAGAGAATAGTTAATGATCCCTTCAGAGAGTTGTGACTAAACAAAATATATCAAAACACTGAAAGTGTATCAAGTGATATTTATTATTTTTTAATTTAGAAGATTATTTATTATATCCATGTGGCCTAGATTTATCATTATTGATCTGGTTTTATGAAAACTGTTTACTGAAATATCAGCTAATCGATGGATTAATAAGACATTTTTATTATGAGTGAGTTTAGCATGGTTAAGGAACTGTGGGTTAGGCATTGGGCTGTAAACTGTAAAAATGGTTGTTCAAACCCACCAGCTGCATCTTGGGAAAAATATGAGGCTGTCTGCTCCCGTAAAGATGAGAGCAGTTCTACTCTGTCCTGTCTGGTAGTTATGGGTTGGAATCGATTCGGCAGCATTGGTGAATTTTACCATGATTACCACATAAACATTAGTATCTATTATTGTCATTCACTGACTAATTTACCCTGAACATAATCTGTGTACATTTTGGTGCTAGGATCTGTGTTTTTTATCAAAAATTGTGGCATAATTTCTTCCAAAGAGTAAAATGCATAATAACAGAAGAATTCTTTATTTATTTTAATAATACATTTTAAATAATGACTTCAGAATATAACTAATAAGTCTTAATAGACCTTCTCTAAAAAGTTTTTTTTTAATACGGTATAGAAATGATAGCCTATAAGAATCACTGCAAATACATAGAAATCTTATGCTATTATTATACATGTTCTCAGATAATTATTACTTGAATTTGACTGTACTGAAAATTAGAATCTTATATATGTATAAGTTGATTTTTGTCCTTTTGTATGTGTTTATTATTGCATAGTTTTGTGTGCTAATTGAGTTACTTCTGGCACGTAGCATCCCAGTAAGCGAGGGTAGAACTGCTCCATAGGGTTAGGGCTTCATAGGGTTAGGGGTTCATAGGCTGAAAATGTTAGGGGAGTAGATCACCAGTTCACTTCTCCAACAGACAAGCTGGTGATTTCAAACCACCAACCTTTTGTTTAGCACCTGAGAGCTTAACCATTGATCCACCAGCACTCCTTATATATGCTTATTAGATTCATTAATTATATGCCATTAAAGAAACACATTGTATATTTCATAAAACAAGATAAATTGAAGGATATTTATTCTAATATAGCCCATATCGTCATTTCTAGCCACTCAAATAAATAGGCTTTGTTGTTGTTTTTCTAGACATCTTTCTAATGAGGCTGGTTTGTGTATGTATGTATGTATGTATGTATGTATGTCTAGACATCTGTCTAATGTTGATAATAAGATGTTGTCTATTTAATTTATCAATGCATAAAATTAACTATCGTAGAATCAACTATCAATGTATAGAATGCTTATTTTTTACAGCTTTTGAGTTGAACTTCTTTGAGAAATTAATATCCAGATTTGAGCTATTAACTAAAGTTCATATGTAAATTATTTAATGTCATATTAGATAAAATTACTAGGCAAATATTCTCAACTGCTACAAAAGCTGAAATCATTTAATGTTATAGAATCACTGGACACAACCAAGAACTTTAAACTTATTAAGATACAATTGTAATAAAAATATACAACATTTGTCACTCATTTACCCACTCATACATTTATTTATTCTTTCATGCAACACTACTCCCTATGATTCCACAAAAATTTAAGATACCACAGCCACAGAGAGTTAACTTAATCTCTCTGTTAGAAAGTGTATAACATGGTTCTCAGTATGTATTCTTTTTATAGTGTTTAATGAAGTCCTGGTGTAGCACTGTAGGATAAACACTGGACCGCAAAGTCTTTTTGAACTGCAAGGTTGGTGGTTCAAGCTCACCAGCTGCTCCTTGGAAACCTTACACAGGGTTGCTAAGAGTTGGAACTGATTTGATGGCACTTAACAACAAACAACAACAGTGGTTAATATTCTGACTTTTGGATTTATAGAATACACTATTAGCAGTAACTTGTTATGCCACCACATTAATTTTGAAACAGCATTTCCAAGTAAAGGGAAAAAAAATCAATGAGACAAAACATCTGTCTCATTATTTTAAATTGTTTATTCATTTTTTAATTCTCAATTTCTCTCCTTTGTGTAGAGGTACCTACCTGTTGACACTACAGAAACTGGCATCCATCCGATATTTTATTGCAGCACTCACTATATTGAAATGCTCCTGAAGGCTGAAGTGCCACTTGTGTTTTCTGCTTTCCACATGTCTGGTTTTGCACCATCACAGGTAATCCATAAAGGAAATAGTAGCACTTCTTTAACTCTAGGATCTCAGTGTTCTAAAAAAAAAAAAAAATTCAGCCTGCATGTCTATTCATGCATTTGCTGTAGATCACCATTCTTGCAGTATTACATGTATAACAGTATTTACCTCTGTTGCCTTTAATTCTTACATTTCTCTTGGTGTCTTCCTCTGCCTCCACATTTTATTTTTTGCTAGCCCCCTTCTTATTCTATATTGTCTTCCCCTTCATCCAAGTTAAAATAATGTGTTATATCTTGAAATCTACCTGATTTACTCTTCATTTGGAATTTCAATACACTAATCGCTCTTTTTACTTTGTAATTTTCTTCATTACAAATTGATATTTCTGGTTCCCTAATTTCATTTGTCTTATGTTTGTTTTACGTTGTATACTTTTATGTCTGGGTTGACATCTGGCTGGTGTTGTCATGTATGTTAATCTCAAGTTGTTGTTTGCTGTCATTAGTTGTCTAAAATTCCCTTTAATATTTTTTTGAAAAGTTTACTTATTTCTATTCATCTAGAAATGACCTAATTTTGCTGTTTTCTTTGAGGGACAATTTTGAAGGTATATGATTGTTGCTTGGCTATCTTTTTTCTTTCCAAGTTTAATATATGTCATCCCATTGCCTTCTTGCCTGTATAGTTTCTGCTGAGAAATCAGAGGTTAGCGTTACCAGTTTTGTTTTGTTTCTTCTTGTTCTGGAATTCCTATCACATGTAAGTGTCTACATAATTCTTAAGCATTCTCTGGATTTTTGTTTTCTTTTCTGATTGCTCCCCTAGCAGATTAATATTGAGAGAATTGTCACCAAGTTCCCTAATATGACCTTCCATTGATTCAATTCTACTCCTTTACCCATTCAATGTAATATCTATTTCTGAGATATTAGTGTTAATCTTCTATATTTCTGTATGGTTTCTAATTTTTTTCATTTATTTAATCAAGTCTTTTAATGGTTTTCTGAATTAGTCTAAAATTTTGTCTATGTTTTTTGTAATTTCATCTGCAACTCTTTCAATCTTTTCTTAATTCATTGGGTACCTAAATATCATTCTTTTCAATTACTTACCAGGTATTTCCAATCCTATTTCTTGCTGAAGAATGTTTCTGACTATGTACTTTGATTACTTGTTAGAGCCACTCATATCTTATTTCTCTGTGTGAACTGAAATTGTCTGTTGTTTCCAAAGCATGTAGTGTTATTGTATTTGTTTTTACTTTATGAGTGTACAGTGATGTGTAGGCACTCACCACTTGTGTCCAGATGAGTGTGATAAAGAATGCAAGTGTGTGTACCGTTCTCTGTTTTCTGTTTGTATAGCACAGTTCATAGTAGGCTTAATTGGTACTGGCTGCTATCTTTGATCAGGTGCTACAAGAACAGGTAATAGTTCTTACCCAGTAAGTGAGGATGCAGGAAGTATGGCTGTGATTTTGCTATATGAATGAACATGGTTGCTGTCTCTCAGCAGGTGGGATAAGAAAAATAAGAAAATAGAAAAACAAAACAGCAGTAAATAAAAAAGAGAGCAAGCAAGAGAGGAAAGAATATAGAAAAAATGCAGTAATAAAATATTTTACTAGCTAAAGAAAAAAGAAAGGAAAATAAAACTAGGAATAGAAAACTAGGAGAGAAGATAAAAAGAAAGAAAAAATACAATAAACAAAACTTGGGGGAGAAGAAAAGAGAAAAAGTAAAGAGAATTATAAAAAAAATCAAGAAAAGGAAGGTTGTTATTATTGTCATTAAGTGCCTTTGAGGCAGTGCCAACTCATTGCAACCCTATATAGGGTTTCTGAGGCTGTAATTCTTTGCAGGAGAAGAAAGCCTCACCTTTTCCCTCAAGAAAAGAAGAAGAGTTGTTGTTGTTGTTAAGTACTGTGGAGTTGGTTCTGACTCATAGTGACTCTGTACAGGGTTTCCGAGGCTGTAAATCTTCACAGGAGCAGAAAGCCTCATCTTTCTCCCACGGAATGGCTGGTAGTTTCGAACTGCCGACCTTAAGGTTAGCAGCCTGAATGGTAACCACTATGCTACCAGAGCTCCTTAGAAGAAGAGTAGAGGGAAATAAAAGAAATAGAAGAAAAGAAAGAAAAATTAAAAAAATGGAAATCAAAGAAAGAAAAGATAAAAATAAGTGAAGAGAGTGAAAAGAATAAAAAGGAAAGGAAAAACTTGAGATGGGGCACTCCTCAGAGAGGAGATAACTGGGGAATCAGGGCATCTGAGATGGGCCAGCACCCTCTGCCAAACAAGAGCTCACAGTTTCAGGGAGAAGTGCTTACCCTACAGCCCCACATCATTAAGTTTTAAATATTGCAAATCAAGGCTTGCATTTTTCCCCTTAGTTCTTTTAGCTTGAGAAAGGCAGAGCTTATTCTTTCCCTTTGGTTTTCTGAGTCCAGATTTTTGCACATTTCATTATATACTTTATCTTCTCGTGTTGCTCTTTAAATTTTCTCTTCAGACCTTTTATGTCATCGTTTCTTTCATTTGCTTTAGGTACTCTGTGTTCCAGAGGAAGTTTCACATTCACTTCAGTTATCCACTTGGTCTTTTCTTGTTTTCCTGTCTTTTAAATGACCTTTCACTTTCTTCATGTATCATGTTCTTGATGTCATCCAACAACTCCTGTAGTCTTTGGTCATTAGTGTCTAATGCATCCGATTTGTTCTTGAGATGGTCTCTAAATTCAGGAAGAATATGCTCAAGGTCATGTTTTGGCTTTTGTGAACTTATTTTAATTTTCTTCAGCTACAGCCTGAGCTTGCATATAAGCAATTGATGGTTTATTCCACAATTGGCTCCTGACCTTGTTTTGGTTTGTGATAATGAGCTTCTCCATAGTATCTTCTTCCCACAGATGTAGTCATTTAGATTCTTGTGTATTATACCTTGAATAGTTCAAGTGTATAGTCACCATTTATGTTGCTGAAAAAAGTATTTGGCGTGAACAAGTTGATCTTATAAAATTCTATTACTTGATCTATAGGATCATTTCTATCACCAAGGCCACACAAATCGCTCCTCTTTAGTTCCAACTTTCACATTCCATTCACCAGTAATTATCAGTGCATCTTCATTGCATATTTGATCAATTTCAGACTGTGGAAACTGGTAGAATTAAAACATTTTGTCATCATTGCATTTAATTGTTTTTACATAAATTTGAATTATAATTGTGTTAACGATCTTCTTTGTAGGTGTATAGTTATTATCCTATCACAGATAGTTTTCTACCTTAAGACAGATCCTAAAATCTTATTTTTGAGGATGAATGTGGCACTCTTCCTTTTGAATTTGTCACTCCAGGCTTAGTAAACCATGATTGTCCTATTCAAAATGACCAATATCAGTCCATTTCAGCTGTTTCCTGGGATATTGATCTTATGCATTCCATTTCATTTTTGGTAACTTTTAATTTTTCTAGATTCATATTTTGTACATTCCATGTTCTGATTATTAATGGATTGTTGCAGCTATTTCATATCATTTTGAATTGTGCTACCTTAGCAAATGAAGGTCCCTAAAGCTTTGTTCCATCTACATCAATAACGTCAACTCTGCTTTGAAGAGACAGTGCTTTCCCTTCCATATTTTGAGTGCCTTCCAACCTGAAGGGCTCAACTTCTAGCACTATATCAGACAATTTTTTGCTGCTATTCATTAGGTTTTCAGTGGCTAACCCCTCAGAAGTGACCAACTTACTCCTTCTTCTTAGTTTGTTCTTAGTCTGGAAGCCTCACTGAAACCTGTCCACCATTGGTGGCCCAGCGTCCAGCATCATAGCAACATACAAGCCACTAAAATATGACAAACTGACTGACAAGTCAGGGCATCCCCTTTAGAATGTAAAGTATATGAAAGCAGGCACTTACTTTTTTTTTTTTAAGCTTTTATTGTTAATTGAGTGATAGTTTACAGGGCAGATCGTCCGTTGTACGCTCAACCTATAATATTTTGTTTCATTGCATGATTACAATCCTCTCCATGCACCATCAGTTAACAGTATTTACCTCTATTCCATCTTTTATCATTTTTGTTTTTTGATATACATAAAACACACAGAAAATTTATATTTGTTTGAACAAACCAAACGGCACATTTTGTAAGCCTTGGTTTTCCCACTTGATGGTCTTAGGGTCCTCTGTTCCAGGAATGAAATATTAACTACTCCTCCCTTTTTGTTTCACATCTTCTGCCTTTAGAGTTATGACAATCGCAATTAGTCATAATAACAGTATACTCAGTATTGAATCAAAAGAATCCTCTCCTATCCTCTTTCACCATACCTATCTAGACAAGAGGAAAACTTACCTCCTTTGTTCTGAAACTAAGCTCTGAAAGCTTATAAACCAGCCACTTTCTGTCTTTATAGCTCCCCATTTTTAGTAGCCAGTGTCTAAATTGCCCATCCTTGTCAGCCCTGTGTACTGAGGGAACAGGTTTGATCCTTGATGTGAAGAATCCTTCCCTCTTGGTTGGAATTTTGAGCAACTACATCTGTACGCAAAGGTCCCTTTCATCAAATTGTAGCAACTTATGCTTGCTTCCTGTACCAAACTTGTTTATCTGCCTCCAGTCAAGTTCTGATCAACAAGCCATTCAAACTAGGTCAAATCTGTAAGTTTAGGTGCTCTTGCATGCCTCTGCTCACTTTAGACCAGCAGACCACTTCACTCGCAGCTCTAGAATCCCCTAAATTTCGGACCACCCAGCCCTTCCTCTTCACTCTCTCATCTCAAGGTCGATGAGTGCCTCTGGAACATGGTTGAACTCAGCTCATATCGTAATTGCTGCATTTTCCCCAGTTCCACTCACAAGTAGATCAAGGTGATTACCAACAAGCTTACAAGCCTGCTCATGTGATCACTTTAAGTTTCAGTCTTGAACAGGGATTTGCCCTGATGGGCTGACTTTTCTTGCTTGATGCCTGCCAGGTGAACAGTTTGCTTTTTTGTTTCTTTTTTTTTTTCACTAAGAAATTATAGTAGTGCCTTGTATATATTAAATACTTAATGAATATTTTAAAATGAATAATAACCTCCATACCATTGTTCTATGATAATATTTATATAGCAATTTTTATATTTTTAAACTGATTTTATTTATGTTTTTATTGCTGTTAAGTCCCACCAAGTTGATGCTGACTCATAGTGACCCTGTATAAGGTGTCCAAGAAGCATCTGAGGAGTTTGAACTATCGACCTTGTGGCTCAAACCAAACCTTGCAGTCCATTGCTTTATCTAGGAGTGCCACCCTTTTTCTATCCTAACGCACCCATATGATTAGAAGGCAAATGTTACCTCCAGTAATTAAAGAAAAATAATATACAGAAAATAATCCTTGACTGTCCATAAATGCTAAGAGAAATTACATTAAAAACTATGTTTAATAATAGACTAATTGTCAGAGTCTCGGGTGAATTTTTTTTTTTTTTTCTTTTTAGCCATAATAAATAAGACTGGATTGACAAATAACTTCCCTTACATGCATTTTGACTTCAGAAATATTAGTTTGAACTGTACAATAACATTGCCACTTTTAAAGGTCATAAAAAGTCAACTATTAGTAATTTCGCACAGTTGAATGTTTAGAACAGTAAGGTCAACTAGAAAGAAGATGGACAGAAGCTGGACCCCCCTCCCAGCTCTTTGTCTACTTGTTATTCACCTTTAAAAACTGACAAATTCATTGGAACTGCCATCTCTGACTGTGTGAATCATTTATATTCATTTCACTCTTTCTTTCATTCTGCTCGTTTCTCATTCTTCTTTCATCCAGAGACTCTAATTTTCATTAGCACTTTATGGCCATAGCTTGATTGGCATTAGAAGATAGAGCAAGGAAGAGAGAGACAGGGAATCCTGACAGCCGCACATTAAGGAATTAGAAGTAGTGCTTCTTAAAGAACCACTGACTACTCCAAAACGTTTGGCCAAGTAGGAAGTGGAGATATTTCTTCCTTAGTGCGGCAGAAGCCCACCACATGAATGTTTGGTAGACAGTGTAATTTGGGTAATGAATTCTACATGCCAATGTACTCCTCAGGTAGATTTGTAGGAGTAATCCTATTAGTGTTAGGTAAAATTGAGACTAAGGAGAATTTAATATTCTCTATATTGACAAATACTGGGCATTCATAAATATCCTAATTGAATCATTTTTTGTCATAATTAAAGGGTGGAGCATTATAGATGTAAAGAAAAATCTTATTCTGATAATAGAATTAGTGCAATTAACAGAAGAAAATTCTATATGAGTGTCATTTGATCATATATCAGCATCATTAATAATAAAAAACAAAGTATGGCCAGAAAATGAGATGAAAAATATTATAATTGCATAAAATAATAGGTTGGTATTTGATGTCAGTAATGAGGTATGCAAAAGAAAAAAATATCTATCATGCTGAAAGTAGTCAAGAGCTAAGTCAGCATGCAAAAAAAAATTGATTCAGACACAAAAATGAATTTTAGAGTATATTCAAAAATAAATTTTTAAAGGAACAAAAAAAAAAAAGAGAGAGAGAGAGGGAGAAATTGTATCTATGTATCTTCTCTACCTGTGGCCAATTATAGTGACCACTGTATCTGGCCCCGTCACCACCACCACTATATCCCCCTTACCCCTACTAATAAATATAAAACTAAAGGAGAAGAGAGAATCAACTAAGGCAGTCCTTTCCTCAATGGTAGTGTGAAATATAAATGAAAATTAAAATATTGGAAACTAATATGCCCCAAATTTTGACAATGTTCATCCCTGTGTTATTGCTATTTTGTTGTTGTTGTTGCATTTCTTTGTTTTTCATAATTGGTTTATATTTCCTTTATAAGCTGAACAAATGTTATCCAAAACAAGACAAATGAAGAGGTCGAGGGAAGCCTCTTTTTGTAAAAGTCTCATATTTGAATTATTCTCTACATTAGTTCTCAGTTTTTATGTTATATAATTATATTTGGTTTATATTGTTTTCTGATTCAGCAGGAGTCCATTTCCATTAATGTAGCATTTAGCAATCTGTCATCTGCATAATTATACATCTGTGATTATAGGTAGGATCGACAGACTCCCATCTCTGAATTAAAATAGTCTCTTCGCATTTTCTGTCGAGAGCAGGCTGGTGTAATGAGTTAGAGGAAGGCAGTATGAATCAAGAGTACATATACCTGCAGGTAGATGGCCAGTGTAAACACCATCGATTATCCCTAAATTCTCTAGTCCAGGGCCATGGAACTTTTCTCAGGTTTTGAGCAAATAGATGAAGCATCCTTGTGAGGCTTCTGTTTTGATTAATTGCTAGGCTTCTCATTGGTTCTATATAAATTATTGGTTACTGCTTTTAAAAAGCTAATATTCTAAAGATTTATGTAAACATTCTAATCAACTGATTTTCCCCCCCCTCTAGATTTGCCTTCAATGGATAACTCAGTGTTTTTGGAATTATTTAGATTGGATAGAAATTTGCCATTATATTGCTACTTGTATTTTCCTTGGTCCTGATTATCAAGTGTATATCTGTATAGCTGTTTTCAAACATCTGCAACAAGACATTCTGCAGCACACTCAGACTCAAGATCTACAGGTTTTCCTAAAAGTAAGTGTTCTTTTCTATAGGGGAAAATGTTGGTTAAGAATCAATAGGTATGTGAAGATATTAGGATAAAGTGATTATTTTTCTTTTCCTATGTTTTCCAAACTCTTGATAATATTATTATATGTGTCTATAATTTAAAACTTTAAAAAAAGAATTAATTGCTACTTTGATTAGGTGCTTAGTATTAGACACTTTCTAAACACTTAGTAAATCCTAAAAGCAACCTTAGAGGTGGTGATGATGATGGTGGTGGTAGTGTGTCATAGCGGCCCTACATAGGGTTTCTGAAACTGTAAATATTTGCTGGAGTAGAAAGCCTCGTCTTTCTCTCATGGAACAGCTGGTAGTTTCAAACTGCTGACCTTGAGGTTAGCACCCCTACCATAACAGATACAGTAGCAGAGCCCTTTTAGAGGTAGGTATTATTATTAGCTCCATTTTAGAGGTTAAGGAAAGCAAGGCACAGGGTTATGCAGCCAGTGGTGGAGCCAGGATGTGGAGTTGTAGATATCTAAAACTTTGCTTTTAGTAAGTATACTACATAGCATGCTGTGTGTGTTGTTGCTATTAAGTGTCATCAAATCCATTCTGGGTCATAGCAACCTTGTGTAGAGTTTCTGAGACTTTAAATCTTTTTGGGATCAGAAAGCCTCATTATATTCCTATGTCTTACTTATCTGGACTTTCAAAGTTCAAGTTAGTACAGACATTTGATACATTTAAAAACATTTAATGTCATTTTATTTATCTTTATTTTCTATATATTTTTCTAATCTTACAACAATATTTATAAGCATTCACGCTATCAGAACACACTTTAAAAAATAATTACCATATGTAAGTGGGAGTGCTATAGTCCTGTAGGATAAGCATTGGACTACTAACCATAAAGCCTGTTGTTCAAGCCCACCAGCCACTTCAAGGGAGAGAGATGAGGCTTTCTGCTTCCGTGAAGATTTACAGCTTCAAAAACCATATACTGATGTATTTTCATTGCCTCTTAGAGTGTCTGGCATATCGTAGAGGCTCGATAAATATTTGTGGATGGAATAAATAAATAGTTAATGTAAAAAAATGTTAAAAGGATTGATGAACGTACTTAGTTTTATTCACATTAAATAGCAAACATTGCTAATTTTTCTAATCCTTGTTCTTTATCCTCCTTCCTACTAGAAGGGTGTCTTTATATTTCATTATCCTTACATCTGATTCATGTTTGTAATTATTGTCATTTGTACTCGCTCCTGCAGGGAAAAGATGTAATGAGATTTGCAAATGGAGACCTCTTTAAATATGTCCCCCACTCCACTATGTTCTGGGACTAATGCTATTATTATTATTATTTTAAGGTTTTTATTGTAGATTGAGTGAAAGTTTACAGAGCAGATCATCAATTTTACATTCAACAAATCATACACCTTGTTTCATTACAATGATTATAATCCCCTCCATGTACCATCACTTAACAGTGTTTCTCTTAATGCTATTAATTTAAAACTAAAGGATATTTGGATAGAGAAAAGAAGAGAATCTCTATGACCTAAGTCTAATTTTAAAGTACTGAAATCCTGATGTGGTACTGTAGGATCAGCACTGGACTGCAAGCCACAAAGTTGGCAGTTCAAACCCACCAGCTGCTCCTCAGAAAGCCTATGTAGTGTCTCTGTGAGTTAGAACCAACTCAATAGTAGTTAACAACAACAACAAAATTTGAATGAGTTGGTTTATATCCAAATTGAGAACATGCTTGAATGTAATTAATACTTATCCTGGTGTTAATCTTTCTTTTTACTTTTATATTTATATTCATCTGAGGAATGAGGGAGAAAAGCTTTTATGATTGGTACCATGACTTTATTTTTATTTTTTTTTCAGTAAGTAGATCATAAGTCTACTGTTGTCCTCTGGCTAGCAGTCATTTTTCCTGTTGTAAAATAAATTATGGTGTGGACTATTTACATATGCATTCACCTACCCCTTTCACAGTAAATGCCTACATAAATAGGCCACACCTGAATATGCATTCACATGTTCCTGTGACTGGACTGCTAACTGTAAGGTCAGTGGTTCAAACTCACCATCTACTCCTTGGAAAACCTATACAGGGTCACTATGAGTTGGAACCCAATTAACCACACTTAACAATAACAACAGCAACAATGCCTTTACTCAATTAAGTTTTGTAATAATTGCTTGGAAAATACATAAATATATGTGTACTGTTTTTCACCTATTTATGTATCAATCAATAATGAAATATTTACTAAAAAAATGTTTTTATTATTACTTTTCTAGGAAGACCCTCGAAATCAGAAATAGATACATGATCCTAAAAATCTACATTTAACTATAGTTATCCATACTAAAAGGAGATTTGGTAGCATAGTGGTTATGAATTGGGCTGTGAATCTCACAGTTAGCAGTTTGAAACTACAAGCTGTTTCATGGGAGAAAGATGAGGCTTTCTGCTCCCAAAAAGGTTTACAGCCTCAAAAACCCTGTACAGGGTCGCTATGAGTCACAACCAACTCCATGGTACAAACCCATTACCACCACCACCATCTATACTAAAACTTGAAAATTGTGTTTTACACTTTCTGATACAAAATGCCAGGCATCCACAGAGAAAGAAAGGGGAGCGCAAGAGAGAAACAGTCAATAATTTTCATACATATTAATATTGCTATATAGATTATTCCATCATGTTATTCTCTGGCTCTAGAGCCTTCCATCTCCTAAAAGCCAATCTTTCCATTATCCAGTCATCTTCATTCCCCAGCCTTAACCAACCTTTATAACACTATTTAATCCCTCAGGAGGAATTATATCTTTTTATCCATCTTGGTGGATTACACAAGCCAACTATCTTTGTTTCATTCTTCCTGTTTGAAGCAAAAAATGGGTATTCCAGAACACTTAATTGTACTCATGAGGAACCTGTACACAGACCAAGTGGCAGTTGTTCAAACATAACAACGGAAGGGGATACTGGAAGATTTAAAATGAGGAAAGGTGTGCACCAGCATTGTGTCCTTTCACCATATTTGTTCAGTCTGTTTGCTAAGAAGATAATCTGCAAACCTGTATTATATGAAGAAGAATGTGGCATTAAGGTTGGAGGAAGAGTCATTAACAATTTGTGATATACAGGTGATATAGTCTTGCTTGCTGAAAGTGAAAAGGACTTAAAGTACTTAAGATGAAGATCTAAAACTACAGCCTTCAGTATGAATTGTGCCTCAATGTTAAAAAATAAAAAATCCTCACAACTGGATAAATAATAAATAACATCATAATAAATGGAGAGAAGACTTGAGGTTATCAGAGATATCAGTATGCTTGGATCCACTATCAACATTCATGGAAGCAGCAGTCAAGAAATCAAATGACATATTGCATTAGGCAACTCTGCTACACAAGACTTCTCTACAGTGTTAAAGAACAAAGATGTCAGTTTGAGGACTAAGGTGTCCATGGCCCAAGTCATGGTATTTTTAATCACTGCATATACATATAAAAGTTGAGCAAGGACTAAGAAAGACTATTGAAGAAGTGATGCATTTAAATTGTGATGTTGGTGAAAGATATTGAAAGTGCCGTGGACTGGCAGAAGAACACACAAGTCTGTGCTGGGAGCAGTGCAGCCAGAATGATCCTTAGAATCCATGATTGTAAGACTTCATCTCTCATGCTTCCGAGATGTTGTCTGGAAGGACCAGTCCCTGGAGGACATCATGCTTGGTAAAATAGAGGGTCAACAAGAAAAGAGAGGAAGGCCCCCAGTGAGATGCCCCCAATGTCAACAACACTGGTCACAAACATTACAGCAATTGTGAGGATAGTAGAGGGGTGGACAGTGTTTCTTTCAGTTGTTCATAGGGTCACTGAGAGTCAGAACCAACTCGATGGCAGCTAACAACAAGTTTTGTTTTGTTTTTAGATTTTGGAGTAATGAGACCATAGTTCTTCCATCACAAAACTACTTTGTAAAAAGAAGATGGTGGTTGGTGATGATTGTATGCCATCAAGTCAGTTCCAGCTCTTAGCGAACCTGTGTAGGGATTCCAAGGTGGTAAATCTTCACAAAAACGGAAAGCCACATCTTTTTCCCAGGGAGAAACTGGTAGATTCAGATTGCTGACCTTTTTGGTTAGCAGCCCAACTTGTAATGCACTACACTAGCAGGGCGCCTAAGGGGGTGGGGGTGGGGGGAAGAGGATAGTGAATCTTATAACAATAGATAAAACAAGCATTTACTGGTGCTGTTGTTGTATTCTCTTGAGTCCCTTCCAACTGGTAGTGACCTTAATAGGGTTTTCTGAAAATGGATGATAGGTTTGAACTGCTGACCTTGAGGTTAGCAGTCCAGTGCTAACACACACAAGTTCAGATCATCAGCGCATTGAATTCATTTCCGTACTCTTGATAAATCACAGATATTTTATATTTTCAACTATTATCATTTGTCTTTGTAATACTTTAGAGAATGAGAAGTTTTAAAAGATTGTAAAGATCCAGTTATTTTTCTGATTTTAACTTCATGTTTAACAGAAAAGTATCATGATAAGAGTATTGTTTTAGGAAACTGAAGCATGTGGTAGAGCAGTCATATTCATTTTGGTTTAGGCTTAAAATTTTAAATAAGATCATTGAGAATCTAGTGTCATTGCCTCTATTTTTAATAGCTGCTGAATTCTTCATGATTATAAATCAATATATCTAGAGACATTACTTGGAAACCCTTAGGTCACAATGTGATGAATACTAATAGTCAGCCCAGGTTTACATATACACACACAAACGTGAGTTTAGTGGCCATATTATCAGGAGTTATGGTGTTGGACCACCACTCGTCTGTCAGTTTGTTGTGCTGTGGTACTTGTGAGTTGCTGTGATTCTGAAAGCTATGCAATCGGTATTTTAAATACCAGAAGGTCACCCTTGGTGGACAGGTTTTAGATGAGTTTCCAGATGAAGACAGACTAGGAAGAAGGAGTGAT